GGAAAGGAGAGTGGTTTACCAGTGACCTGAACAAGTCATTATGTGTTTGAAATCAATTATACCCAGGAGCTCATTAGCAACAGAGAATAAATGCCTGTCCTGTGTGTGCTGTGGATATTCTCTTGGATCCCCATCACACATCAAAACACTCTTTGTCAGAGCCACTGAAGGGTTAATAACAGACTGTTCTTTCCAGGGCAGTGATTTCCTGGAGCAACTGGCCAGTGAAACCATCAGTGCAAGAGGGATCAGTGACCAGCAGGCACCAGAATTGTCTGGAGAGTTGGAACTGGAAAGAAGCTACTGCAGGTCAGCAAATTCTGCCATTTTGTAAGTCAAATGTACACTGCACAATGTCCTTGTCTCCTAATGTTTAGGACTGAGAAAGAAAGAAGGAAGGTTTTGAAGAGCACGCACTCATTTAGGGTGAAATTCCCTCATGTTCACTCTGATGGAATCAGTATGGGGATGCCACCAGAGTGGGACTTCTGAAAAGCAACATTCTTTGTGCAAAATTTAGGCAGGCAGCAGCAGAGCAAAGATTTCAGTGCAAACCTGAGGCACATGTTGAATAACTGCTCTGCCTGAACTGAACCTCAGTTATGGTGCATTTTACACTCATAACAAGGGGACAGCAAATATATGTATTTCAAAAATAGAAGGGGCTGACTCTGTGATTTGTCTGTAATGCTGTCAATGCCCATAACAGTATATAATAGTCATGTACAGTTTGAACATATACACATATACAGGTGTTTCTTGTGACAATACATGCATGAAATCAGGAACACAGAGTCTCTCTCCTTCTTTATACATATCTCTATATATACATCTCTCTTCTTTCTTGCTGCAGATCTCAAACTTTACAGGTGGGGTGGAAAAGCACTTGGGGAAAATACCCCTGCAGAGACACAAAATCTAAAGGTTCCTGGGACAGCTGAAAAGCCAAAAGGTTACCTCGTCTTACTGCTGGGGTGAAAAATTGACAGATAAACAGCACTGTTAAAAAATTTTATTGCTGTTATCAACAGAACAGTTTTGCTTGAGGCTGGATTGCCCTTTTCCACAGAACAGACCTGTCTCTATACCACTGCCTTGGCAAAGCTGGCGTGGAGGGCAGTCCTGCTCTCACTGCAGCTCTAACAGGAACAGTCACTGCTCCCTTCACCTCTCCACCTCATGGGCACGAGCCTGTCTTGTTTGCCCAAGTTGGGAAAATTTGCAGCTGGAGGAAAGATGAAGTCCAGGTATTGATGGAAAGAGTTATTGTCAGAACTCCCAGAATGTTGAGCACAAATCCAGCTTTGGCCTAGAATTATAAAAAAGAAGCATTGTTAGTTGAACTGAGCACTTTCCTTTCTTGCTGGTTGGGATTGTTTGTATTGACAGATTCTCTTTGGTCTTTTTTCACAAGTCCATCAAACCAGCTTATTTTAAGCTGGTTTTCTTCACAAATATAATTTTTCCTGGGGGGGAAACAAGTTTCCATCATATAAAACTCCTTAAGTAGAAGTTCTGAAATCCTTTGAACTCACTCATGTAGAACTTTCTCTTCTGACCTGGCATTTATCCCTAATGTTACTTTGGAATTCTTCTTGGATCACTTGTAAGTTAGAAAAGTTATCAAGAGACATGGCATCCGTGTCCATCTGTCTTTAACAGGATGATTTCTCAGGGCATCAGGGCAGCCCAGTGAGATGTGCCAGACTGTCCCCTCTCCCTGCAGAAGGACTGCCCAGATGACAGGGCTCTTTGACACCTCTATGCCCTACATGTGGGCTTTTCAAGCACTTAGACATTGCTGTTTCTCATTGGCAGCTCTTCTTGGAACATCTTCAAGAGGTCTTGGCTGTTCTTTAAAAGCTCAATAGCACCTTTCTGAGGCTCTGAGTGAGTGTGACCCTTTATTAATGCACTCATGTATCTTCCTTCCATTTTACATCAGCTGAGCACAGTGAGATTTCTAACACTCTCACAAGAAGAACCAATATTAGAAAAAGGAAAGACCAAATCTAGAGGTGAAAATTCTGACAAGAACATGATTTTGCTCACCATATCAATAACCTTGAGCTGTCCATAGGAGAAGACAATGGCATTGGGAGGAGTGGCCACAGGGAGCATGAACGCCAGCGATGCAGAAAGTGTGCAGGGCAGCATGACATAGAGTGGGTTGAGGCAAATGGCTTCAGCCTGTGCAGGAGGAGAGAGCAAAGAAGCTGGTTTTGATACCCAAAACTGCAGAGAAATCTTTTCTCAGAAAACTGATTGTATTTGTCCCTGTCAGAAACCTCGTCCTTCATCAAACACTGCAGCCACTCAGGTTTTGGTGCTGCTTTAGACACTTCTAGTCCATGTCTTTATGCAACAAATGCAAGAATTGATTTTGTGGTCAGGGCTTTGTGTTCCTGATGCTGCTGTATGAATGGATAATAATGCTTGCATTCACCTCTAAACCTTGGGAAAAAATTGTAGAGTGGTTTCAAACTGGTTAAGAACAAAATGAAATTATCAGAGGAGACAGGGCAGCCCAAGCTCTGCAGGTGAGTGGATCAGTTTAA